CTCTTCATCTATGGGCTGTGTCAATGAAGAAATGAGTTAGTAACCAATTGGATAATGAATGGAGATGGAGGACAGGAGTCAAAGGTCACTCTAAGGCTTCTAGTCAGAGCACAAAAGATATTGCTAGATCATTAGCTTAGCTGGGAAACAGAAAGAGAAAGCGGCAAGAATGAATTTGTTTTTTTACATGTTGGGCATGGATGGTGGGAAGTTGGAAATACAGGTCTGATTGGTTCTCTAAGATTTTCAGGGTTAGAGATAAAAATTTTGAACTCAGCTTTCAATGATAGTTAAATTATGAGAATTGATTCAATGATTCATGAAAAGAGGATAAAGGAAGACTATTGAAGAATGCTTACATTTAAGGGTGGGGTGTCCAGGGAGAGGCAGCAACGAAAGACAGAAAGAATAAAAGGATAATGGGAGCTGAGAAAGAATGAATTTAAAAGTCAATAGCTATATTTAGCATGCTCTTCTACAACTTAAAAGAGGAAGCCCAGTGCCTCTTCCTAAGAGGTGGTGGGATTCTACAACTGGGAACTCCACGGCGACTTCTAAGAGAGGAGCAGTGGACGTTGCACAGAATCGTCTTTATGTGAGTATAGATAGTCAACTAGACGCGATTTGCCCGACGCTGTCACCACACCCCTCGTTGGCTGGAGCTTCCTGAACACTTGGTTCTCTGGAGCCCCACTCTCTTGTCCTGAGCCCCACTACAGCTTCCCTACATGCATTCTCGGGAGGGTTGGGAAGCGTGCACACACCTGCTCCCTTGGACTAAAAGTTGTCTGGCCCTGGTGAAAGTTGCTTTCCTTGTTTCACAGAACACTTGCTTAATGCTAAGTTGTGGGCTCCATCACGGAGAGTTAATTGCTGAACATCTTCTAGATACAAAGACTGCTGGTATATTCTCCTTTGCTCACTAAGCAACCTACTACGTGCAGGAACTGAATAATGTGATTGTCTGAAACTAGAATAACTGATGTGAAGCCCAGGGCTCATTGATGTAATTATTTTAGGCCTTCTGAGTTTATTCTTCATCAAGGAGCAGTTTGTGCTATCTAATCTCACATTTCTTAGCCCGGGGTAAATCAGATTAGCATTGTAAAATAGACAGCTTCTATATCCTAGTGCTTATTTAATATATCACATTTCTCATGGACTGCTTTTATCTAGGGAGGAGGGTTAGAGTGGAAATTGAGCTTTGATTTCCTGGGACCTGACAGGTTTAGCTCACTCCTTCCGATTTCCATTGTTTATCATAGCGTGTGAATTGATCGTTCAAACCAATCTCTATTCAAATTAATATCCACAGTCCAAATTGATTTGGCTGAGTCCTGGAATCAAATGAAGTTTGAGATTTTGCTGTTTGAATCTCTGATGAGAGAGGTCGATGTCTCATTGCATTTGCTGGTCTCTCGTGGTGAGATAGGGTTTCCCTGGCTGAGCTTTCAGACAACCAGTCTTTAGATGTATTTACAGTTTCTTGTCTGCCCCTACACAAAGCCTCAATTTCTAATATCTTTTTTAATCTTTATTAAATTTTGGGGAGTGACATTGGTTAGTAAAATCATATAGGTTTCAAGTGTACAATTCTATACATCATCTATAATTTGCATTTGTGTTCACCACCCAGAGTCAGTTTTCCTTCCATCACCATATATGTGACCCCCTTTTCCCTCTTCTACCACCCCTGATCCGCCCTTAGATCTTTTACTAAGCTGAACTGAGAGAACACCATGAAACAAATGTCTATGATTAGACAATTTATTTCACACATAGAGAAAAGAGCCTGTGTCTCTTAACAAGGTCCGTTCCCCAGGAAGGGAGATGAAGTGGGAATCTTGAGAGAAAATTTACGTCAGCAAGGAGGTTAGCTGAGGGACTCTTATAAAGAAGATTAAATTACAGAGTATGCTGTGTCCTGATTTATCCTCCCGTGTTCTACATTGAACTATGAAATCATCTCAAAGGAAAAAAAAAAGGAAATTTCGAATAAGGGACCAGGAAAATTACATAGGGTTGGAATGCCCTCTGGTGTTTATCCAGACACATAGGCAGACATTGTAAAAGCCTCTGAAAATTTGATAACACCCAGTTTTCTGTCTTAAAATTAAATTACAGAAAATAAAGATGGAAAAAAACACCACCTTTCAGTAATTTACAGTTTCTTATTAATTTCATGTGAAAAAACCAGAATAATAGATGGAATTCTCAAGGGCTCGCCTCTGAAGAGAAGGGTAATAGTTCTCACTGATCTTTCCTATTATTTTATTCTAAAAATAGGCCCTGTGTACGAAACCTCTGTACCTCCCACTCAATTTTGCTGTCAACCTAACACTGCTCTAAAAAATAAAGTCTATTAAAAAATAGACCTTGTGCTCTTAAACAACACTTGAAGTAGATGAATAGCAGCGTGGATGCACAGAGGTGGAATAAACCCGATTCTGGTTCTCCTCACTTTATTGAAGACAGCTCTAGGGCTCGGGTCCCTCCTTGCAAAGCTTAACAAATGGTGCTGCCCAGAAGACCACAGGCACCTGTAGGATCACAGTGCTTTTTTAATATGGTCCAAAGATAGCACAGAGGCGGTGGATGTACGACATCAATGAGGGGAGAAATTCAGTTGTCATTTCCCACCTTTTCTGGTTGGCTGGATCCCGTTACTGACGTTTTGGGAAGGGCCTTGTTGAGAAAGTACTGGGTGGTCAAATGGAGAGACCATGGAAATCCCTGAGCAGATAACTTCCACTCCATTCTACAGACTGTTCCACCACGTTTTCAGGACGGCACTTCTTTTTTTTTATCGTATGGAATTCGTAGGCTGGGAGAATGGGGATGGAGATGGCCCACAGCATCCGTGAATGGGGCCTCACTCCTCGAAGTGTCATCATTCAGGACTAATTTCAGGTAAACCAGGTTGGGATCTTTCGTGTAGAGATAAAGACCAAATGGATGAGACAGAGCGAGGGGGCTGCTGGTTTTCTCGTTCCAGCTGGTTGGCATCTAAACAGCAAATGTGAGCCCTACAGCAAATATTGGGTTGTAGGAAAAGTCATGACGCATTTTTGCAACAAAAAACATAGAAAAAAATATGTCATGACTTTTCCGACCACCCAATAGATACCTGAATGGATGGAGGGATAGGAATAAAGAAGCACTTCCGGCTCTAGTGGAATATGGGTACTCTTTACTTCAGGAGTGATTTTGTCTCTCTTTGGCAAAATGGTGACATGTGAGGGCTAACAGGGGGTCCTCAGTGAGTTGCCTCTGAGCATAGGAACACAATTGCCCAGCATGTCACCTCAGCGTCTACACTGCTTTGCATCTCTGGGCTTTGAAGGTAGGGTTCAGCAGGTGAGAGTTTATGGCATGTCTGAAACCAAATAAGGAACCCACAAACAAGTTCTGGAACCCAGCTCTGACCCTGTCACATTTAAATCTACTTCAACTCTAGAGGTGCGGCCGTTGACACATAAACGGCAGGACAGACACCTTGATATTTTCAGCAGCGCGCTTGGCCTCAGTGAGCTGTACATGCGTTCACTCCCCGTCCCCCCGCCATTAATTGTGCTCACTGCATAGTGTTGCCAGACTGTATATTTGGGGAAACATATCGGTTTAATTAAAAGATTAATTAATAAATTAGTTTGGGAACTTATTCAGCCTTGAAGTGGAAGGAAGTTCTGACACCTGCTACAGCATGGATGAACCTGGAGGACATGATGCTGAGGGAAGTAAGCCAGTCACAGAAGGACAAACACTGTGTGATTCTACTTATACGAGGTCCCTAGAGTAGTCAAACCCATAAGAATGGGGGTGCTGGGGGTTGGAGGAGGGGGCATGTGGAGAGTTAGCGTTCAATGTGAGCAGAGTTTGAGTTGGGGAAGACGGCAAGTTCTAGAGATCGATGAGGGTGATGGTCGCACAACAATGTGACTGTGCCGAATGTCACGAACTACACACTTAAAAATGGTAAATTTCATGTTATGATAGCTTACCAAATTAAAACCAAAGTTAATTTGTATATTCACTCCATAAATACTTATTGAGCAACTATGCATGTCAAGTTCTATGCTGGGAGCTGGGAGATGTAAAGATGGATTACACACGGTACCTACTTCAGAAAATATCTTAAACGTTTCTATGAAAACTCCGCAGACTTTGATGAACCGTTTTTACTTTCTTTTCTCTAAAATTTCCCTTTTGTATCTGGTCTAAGAAACAGTTTAACTCTATAGGTATTATTCAGTGGTAATACTATTAATGATAGTAAATACTGCACTTTCAAATATTAAGTACTCTAACTTTTAATTCCTTCACAATTAACTAAGCTGACTATTGTCATTGTGAGGGTCACAGATCCTCATTAAAGTCCCTCATTTCTAGCACAACAGGGTTTGCCTGCTTCTTAATGGGGGAGAGGGCAGGGAAGAAAGATGGGGGGAGAAGGGTGCCAAGGAAGACAGTGGGGAGGGGAGACCCAAGGAGGGAGGCAGGTGGGACAGGGAAGGGAGACGGGGGTGCACAGAATCGTCTTTATGTGAGTATAGATAGTCAACTAGACGCGATTTGCCCGACTCTGTCACCACACCCCTCATTGGCTGGAGCTTCCTGAACACTTGGTTCTCTGAAGCCCCACTCTNTTTCAAGAGGAGTCCAACAGCAAAATCAATAGGTGTTGGTCACTGACTACCAATTAAGGCACAATTAAGGCCTCTGGGTTTGATTTCAATAAGCCGGCTGGCAGTTTTGTGGGAAGTCACCAAATAAGCAATGATTCTAGACAATTGTATCCCTTGCGATGATTCAGATGTGCATTTTCAAATGAGGCGGAAATGAGGATGCAGCTTTGTACATGGAGACAACGACAGGAGGAACACGAAGCCACTGGGAAGACCCAAGAAGGTGGAAAACAGAAGGAATGGAACCATCCGGATGAGCTCTGGCGGCTCATGGCTGAAGGCGCTAGAAAGGCACTTGGTTATTTACCAACTTACTGTGGGGTAGGGGTGGGAGCAGAACACGGTGTACTTTCGGATGACGCCATTCAGCTTGAGAGGGGGCAGCCAGGACACGAAGACCATGGAGGCCGAGGCCGCAGCTGCCTTGACGCCCGCGGGAGGACCTGGAACTAGAAGAGCCGTGCATTTAGTCACAAACATGGTCTCCACCCAGGTGCTCAGGCCCACTCTGCCTGATGCGAACTCCAGGCCTTCTGGGCCTGGCTACTGTCTGTGCTCAGCTTTTCAAGAGTCAGTGTTATGGGCTGAATTGTGTCCCCTCAAAATCCATATGGTGAAGCTCTAACCCCAGGACCTCAGAATGTGACCTTATTTGGAGATTGGGTCTTTATAGGTGATCAAGTTAAAATGAAGTCATTAGGGTGGGTCCTAACCCAACATGACTGGTGTCCTTATTAGAAAAGGGAGGGGGAAGTTTGGATACAGACACACATAGAGAGAAGACGATGTGCAGACAGGGAGAAGATGGCTGTCTACAAGCCAGCGAGAGAGGCCAGGAGCACGCCCTCCCTCATGGCCTCAGCAGGAACCATCCCTGCCCACACCTTGATTTTGGACTTCTGGGCTCCAGAGCCATGAGACAATATGTTTCTGGTGTTGAGCCCCCTCCCCTCCACCCCCAGTCTGTGGCACTTGTTACCACGGCTGTAGGAACTGACAGCGAGTCTCTCTTTGAACCCCACTAGGCCCTGTCCTTGGGCGTGTCCTCTAAGAGCTCTATTTTCACAAGAATCCCACTAAGTCAGGTCAGCCAGAATCCCCTCAACATCTGACCACTCTCGATATCTGATCAATGTCCTCATTCTCTACCATCCTCCAGATCACATCTGATCATCAGCCTGCCTTCAGCAAACTCCTGTTAGCTCAGTTTAGTCAGAATGTCACTAACCCCTGCTGTTTCCTCTTGTAGTTTCCCATCCAAAGACCCCACCGTACCCACTTTTTTCCTCGGCTGTAAATTCCCAGTGTTACTGCTTGTATTCAGTGTCCAGCCCAGTCTCTGTCCCCTACTGCACAACCCCCATTGGGGCAGGCCCTACACCTACCTCAGCAGCCCCCTGAGGAAAGCCTGTCTTACTGTTGTTTAACAAGTGTCATGAGTACTTGTTTCTTTTACAGAACTCACATAATCACTGCACGTCCCTGTTTTCCTGGGACCCTTCTGTTCCCACTTCAGTCCCTGGTGATTTCCTGCCTCTGAATAGCTGGAGAATTTAGCTTCTGGGTCACTCTTGTTTCTACTACAGGTTTTGGCTTTGAATGGGCTGGAGATGTATATCTTGCCTCCTGAGTTAAGACGAATGAGGGAGAACGACCTCAGTCATCAGAGGTCACTCTTCCTTGCCCAAAACACTTTGTGATGGCACCTCTTTTGGCTCAGGAGAGGTGTAACAACATTTTTTATGAGTATGGAATTTTGTGTCAACAATTCAGTTTTTATAGATGACAAACTTCGGTCTACAAACCATCTAAGAAGGTAGGAAATGTTGTTAACAATATTAAGCATAATTTGGGAGTGAGATTGAAGGCATATAGCCCTCCCCCATCTTTTTGTTTTCCAGGTTACAGAAGGAGGATGGGATGAGGTGGGTAGGACACAGGAACAAGAGAAAAGTGTTTCTATGAGCAAAGCCTGAAGGCTCTTGCTTTCTTCCTCACTGTCTAACTGTCTACTTGGAGGGTGGTTCCCACCTTGATGGAGGTCTTGAAAATCAAACCAATAAAAGTCCCTTGTGAGCCCCTGGAGGAATCTTTGAGTCTCTTCCTGCTCCAGCAACAACATAGCTATTCAGTAAATATTTTGGGGGTTGAATGTGTGTCTCATAATTGCCATCTTGACCCTTGAAAGTGAAAACAACAAAACCAACAACTCTGGTGAGAGTACACGTGGTTTGGATACAGTCTGTACTTGAAAATGTAAATCTTAGCGTCAGTTTCTGGCAAGTCCTGCTGACAGCAGAGGGTCTAGGAAGGGAAACACACATAAGAGATGAAGGCTGGATTACTATGTCCTCGGGAGCAAGGCACCGTTGTTCTGGGTATAAAGGGCAAGGCAACACATTCACAGGTCCACAAGCTGGCTCAGAGCCACCAGGCCTCCTCTCAAACACCAAGGGCAGAGGGGACCTTCTCTTGGTCTTTCCATCCTAATGGAATCCCCGGATTAGCCAACACTCTCCATTCCTTCTATAAAGCAACCACCGCACTGGCACCCACCATGTGCAGCATGCCCTCTGGCCAGCTTCTTTCTAGGAGCCCATGTACTTCGGTCACAGCCACCTGAGTCACTGCTCAACAGAACTCAGTCACCCTTGTTCCCACCCTGTTTGTGACAATTGTGCTTGTCACGGTAATGCAATTTAATTCGTTATGAAAACCAATGAAATACGAGCACAAAGAAAGCTGTTTCTATGACAATTAATGGGACGTCTTGGGAAAAGCTCCCTAAAGCTAAGAAAAGAAAAGAAAAAAAAAGGAAGGTTCAACTAAGTTTGGGCAAGATTATGAGAATGGGATACATGGCAAACATGAAGGCAACCAGATGAAAAAAAATGGTAAATGTTTTTGCTCCACTATTGCAAAACTGAAAACGGAAGTTGCAGATGATCTATGATGGATAGAGTTCATGGAATGGAAGATGACAACTCTAATCTCCGCACCCAAACTTAGAGAAGTGAGCCTAATTTGGGTAGGCAGTGATGAGAGAATAAATCTATATTTATATGTTTTAAGTTGAAATACACGTTTATGGTATGTTTCTTGGTCACTGTAAAATTTAGTGATTCCTTGCTGTAATTGGTTATTTCCATTAAGTTGTCTTGATCACATCAGATCAGAGGGCTTTTACTGTACTTGCTATCGAAACCCCCATCTGGTTCCTCATACACTGATTTATGATATATCTGGTGCAATCCATAATTGAATGGTTATTAGAATTTTGTTCAATAAAATAATGACTATATAGAAACTTTGAGGAACTAGACATTTGGAAATATTTTCTGGGTTACTGAGACAATACATTAAGAGCTAGAATTTAAAATTTTAGTTCTGGTTTGGACTACACAATAGTGGTTAAAGGTGAGGGCCCTGCAGCCCCTCTGCGGGCTTTTGTCCACCTCTACCGCATGGTTCTATGGCCTGGGCAAGTCCATCAATTTCTCCGATAAGCCTTAGTTTGCTCATCTATGAAGCTGGAAAAACAATTACAGTATTTATCATTTTACAACTACGATTGTGAGAGATAATGCGTGTAAAGAATTCATATGGAGTCCTGTATACAATGAGCACTAAAGAAATTCTAGCTCTGACTTGTAATAACCATCATCATTTCCTTATTTTACATGACACTAAAGGATCCTGGCCTTTACTTTGTGACTCAATTTTGAGTCACAAGACGTTGAGAACTGTAGAAGACAGGGATGATGTAGGACAGTCTGTGTGGGACATATTAAAACATCCCTTGTCACCAGATTCCATTTTGCAAATCGGTTTTTTGCTTATGAAGGTCTAGGCGAGCTTAAGCAGTTGTCATGCATTCCTGTCCATTGTTGTGTCCATTTCTGACTTTACATCTGACGGGTTGAAGTAAAAGAGGCAGCTGCAGAGAACCATCCCTTGTATGTTCTCCCAACTTGCCTGGACCTTCCTTCTGTGCTGCTGATGTTCTTATAGCTCTAATCCGATTGCTACTGACATCTCCACTCTAATTCACAGGCGCTTGAGACCTACCATGTCCCCAAGGGAGCGTGCCATCTTCTCTCCTAAGCCTGACTTCCTCTTGTCCCCCATTGCAGGCCACAGCACAGCTATCTCCTGGTTGCAAAAGCCAGAACCTAGAATTCTCTTCCCACCTGTGTCCCCCTCAATGGATGTGTAAGGTTGGTGTGACCCCTCAACTTACTCGTGGACATGCCAGGTTGGTGGCTGTGCTCTCCTCCCAGCTCGGTGTTGTTCTGTGCCATTGAGCCTTTTTAGGTCCTGGAAAGTGGCATGCTTCTCCCACCACAGGACCTTGTTACTTGATGATCTAGTAACCACAATGAACTGGATCCTGCCATCAACCAGCAAGCATAGGGCAGGACCTGACTTCAGGTGAAACCACAGCCCTGCCAACACCTGGATTTTAGCCTGCGAGACACTGGGCAGAGGACCCAATGAAGCCGAACCTGGACCCCTGATCCATGGAAACATTGAGATAACACATTTGCATTGTCTTAAGGTTCTAAGTTTGTGGTAATTTGTTACACAGCGTCGGAAATAAATCCATACAGTTAAGGGTTCTAACAATACAGTGAAACCTTGGATTGCGAGTAACATGGTTTGTGAGTGTTCCGCAAGACGAGCAAACATTTCTAGTACATTTTAACGTGGTAAATGAGCGATGTCTTGCAATATGAGTAGTTTGTTTCTGGAATGAATTATGCTTGCAAACCAAGGTATTACTGTATATCTTAATCAAACATCAAAGTTGGTGTTCTGAAAAGAATATTGTCTTGATGTATGAAAGAAGTTAGACTGAGTGTCTGTGAGAAACTTCAGTCAGCCTCATTTTTGTCATGATCATTTTTCCGGTCTTGGTGATCAGGTACAGGCATGTGTGTGTGTGTGTGTGTGTGTGTGTGTGTGTGTGTGTGTGTGTGAGTGTGTGTTGTGTTGTATGTGTTTAGGGCACGTATGTGTAGTGTGTAGTGTGTGGCGTGCGTGGTGTGCCTGTGCATACTCGTATGTGGCCCACCGTGGGATCCACCTGAGCCCAGCTCCACAGCAGCCTCTCTGAGCCATGCGCCGATGACACCATATTGGATGGATGCAACCACATCGCAGTCATCACAGCCAAGCAAGTAAACACGTCTCTTTTCTCCTCGCATTTCCACAAGATCCCGATCGCCCGGCCTTAGCTCTTACTAGAGCAGTGATTTCCAGACAGTCTTTGAAGGAGACACATCTTTTAAGTAAAGGATCACGTGGGATAACTCAAGCGGAAGCGGTTCTAGCACAGTAGGGAGCATGGAGGTCCCCCCCTGGGCTTCTTGCTTCCCACTGGGCACCTCTGAGGCCCCCAGGAGCCCAGGGACTTCACAGACACCTGTAAGGCAGTCGCTGCAGAGGCAGGAGCTTTGAGACCCACACGGCCCAGGGCCTTTAGGACGTCAGGTCTGCTGTGCCATTGGCGTGCCTGCTGCCACACTAAGCTCTGCCACATGCGCAGGACTCTGGAGTAGCCCTGACATGAACTGATTAATTGATTAATTGACTGTCAGGCCTTCCCATGGCACATAATGCCTTCAGTGTGTACAGAGGGGCAGCACGGGTGCGGTTAGGCAAACACACACACACACACACACACACACACACACACACACACACCACACATGCAGGCCACTGCTTTTAGGATACACTGAGTTCAGTTACACAGTCACCTGGGGACACGCCATCCATGCCTTCAAGAGAACACGTGGCTCAAGATATGGGTGGCCAGAGGAGTCAGAGACATCCTGCTATCTGTTTATTTTTCACTCACTCCTAGCTCTGTTTTCTGATATCCCACCTAAGAGATTATTAATCACAGGGGAGGGAGCAAAGGTCACACGCCACACTTCTCTTGGGCCTTCTTGCATGATGCCTTATTGAACTATGTGTATCAGTGAGGAACCCAGAAAATCTGTGATCTTAAACACAGCAGTCTCTGTTTATACATGAACAATGTTTACTTTTGCAGAAAAGGATCAGGGCCGAAATGACTTTGTGCTTGCAGAATCAAAATAACAATTGCAAAATTAATAGATTGCATTTTGTTTTGAATTCTCTGTCTCCACAGTTTGTTTAGATTATAGTCTCAGCAAAGAAAATGGTACAAGAATTTTTCACAAACGTTTTAGAATTCAGAATTAGTTGTCTTGTGATCAAGACCAAAAACCCAGATCAGCAAATAATCTTATAACGATTATTTATAAAGGTCCAAGCTCTCATTGGCTGAGCAGTCCTGGGAAGAGAGTCTGAGAGGTGAGCCATTCTCATAGACCCTGAGAATACGTCCATGGACTGGAGGCTGTAATTATAGATCCACGGCTATATCTATGGGCCTAAGAATATGTCTATTGACCAAGAATCCTTATAGAGGCTGTGAAACTGCTTAAGGTACAGAAAACTTGTTCTGCAAGTAAATATTTCAGTTGCAACTATCTCCTGCAGACATAGACGTTTTGTCTTTTTTTTGACTCTTTATTTTAGCTAGTTTTATTTATGTATTATTTTATTCTGTTTTTGTATGTTTTACTAGCAAGTGATAAGTTTTTCCTTTTTAAGACAATCAGTGACCCAACAACATAATTTAAAACTCTAGGTCACCTGACACTGAGGGGATGGGCGTAGAGGACAAAATTGAATGTTTGTTGTCAACCTATTAGTATTAATATTTCTTTACTTGTGAGAACATCAATAAACTCTAAAACCTCAACCAGTGCCTACAAGAGTGTCTTACTAAGGAAGAACTTCATAAATGTTGGCAATCATTATCTTACTGGAATTTTATCCACATTTTTACGTAATTTAATTGGAAGTTGTCAGTGTATTCCAAACTTCAAAACTAGAAGGCTTCATAGTAGAATAATAACCAGGATCTATATTGATTTTATGAAGCATTTATTCTATGATAATTAGCTTTTGTCCCTTCTTCTTTCAATTGGACATAAAATTGCATTCAGTTCTATAAACTGCCCAAATATCTATTTATATTAGATATTGAGTCTGTAAGAGGGGCTAGCACAATTCTTCAGCATTTCTAAATTAGTGATATTTTCCTGTGACATCTGAGAGAGAAGCTCATTATTACACCAGTTTTTCTCTCTTTCCACCCAATCTCTGTTCAGCTTTTTTTTTTTAACTGCTGCAGATTTATCCCAAGTAAATATTGACATCCAGTTGTGCATCACTCCTTGCCCCACACACCAGCACACGTGGAATTCATCCCTCCTCCCTGGGGGAACTGGTATACCCAAGGCAGGGTCTTCCATAATTGATCACATCTCCATACACCATCAGCACCAATGTGAAAGCAGAGAATAATTGATTGAGAAATTAGACTTTGGGTCTCAGGGTCATGTTTTGAGACAGAACTTTATGATTAATTAAAAATTGATCCAAGATGACCAGTCAATAAAAAGCTGTAGACAGCCTTCCCTTCTTATTAGATTTTTGTACTGTCTTCAGATAAGTGCAGCTGTCAAAATTCATCTTGCTGATCAATTTGCTCTTTAAATAAGAATTCCAGTGAAATTTGTGCTATTGCTTATCAATGCAAAAGAGTGTTCCACCCCTGCTCTGAAGGCGTAGAGATCAAATAATCAAGTATCGAGTGTCAGGAACAATCCCACTATGTGTCAAACTAGGTGTTTGCACACATCACTTCACTTTTTATATCTTAATTCTGCGCAGTCTCATTGTTATGGAAATTTTGTACGTGAAGATAGTCAGAGAAGGTTATGTAAGGTGCCCAAAGTCCCACGGGCGGCAGGTGACAGGGTCAGCACCTAGACCTGGGTCTTCGTCTACTACATGTTTTAAATTAAATTAGAGCTGTCTTCACTCAGGATATAGCTTTGTAGACTTCTCTATTAATGTGCGATGTCCTAATGGCATTGCATTTTGACCTTAGATTTCTCTAAATAATCCAATATCTTTGAGCAGAATTGGCTGACACCTGCACACTCTTGGGAAGAATTACCTGCATGTTCTAGAAAAAAACTAAAGCTAATGGGGGTTCATTTGTGTGCAGACCTTATAACGTGATAAGAGCTAGAGAGACAGGAAAATTACGTGTAAGGGTGGATGGAAGGGACTGCTCAGCGGGGTAGGGCCGGGTTTGTTGAGATGAGAACTGACAGTGGGGTGGGAGATGGCAGGCCGCGAATGTCAGGGGAGCGTTGTTAGGGGACAGAAATGCTGGAGAGAAGAGTCCAGCCAGGCCCCTGAGTGTGAGTCCGGAGCTTTGCTTCCACACAATGGACATGAGGTGGAGCAACAGCACGTTTGATATTCTGCGTACATGCACATCAAACCTGCCAATTCCCTGGAGATCCTGGTCAGTGGGCGACAGCGCTCCCACCCCACCCTGCCCAGCCTCCTGGGGAACAGAGTCCTGGAAAGAAGACCAATAACTTGTAGAGCCCAGTCAGCGCAGAACTTAGGTATCCTGGTGTCTCATCTCAACCCTGCCTCTGGAAAAACGGCTCTGATTTGGAGGGCTCCACATGGGGATCAACTTGATATCAGTTGCTCCTTCCTTTAGAAAGGTGGACACTGCTTTTCTCACTGCTGCTATAATCTTTTTTAGAACTTCAACTGTTCTTCAAACAGGCTTGGATAAAGCCCCTCAGAGTTTCCCTTAAAAAGTAATACAACAAATGATTTGCAACGTAGCTTTTGTAGATTTGGGAAATAGTCACATAACTAAGCCCAATAATGTCGAATGGCAAGAATTAATGGTCTGAAAAAAAGTGTGCCATGGTTTAAAATGTTACTAAATCATCATCTATTTCTGTAAGACATTTAAAAATTAACATGAAGCTCTCCAATTAAAGGCTTATTCTAAAGTAATTCCAAAGCTGGCACAGAATAATGCGACTTAGATGGTTACATAACTCTCAAATGGAAGGCTGGAAATAATCAGACCTTACGCTCCATGACTGAAGAGTCACCGAAATTATTCTATCGGGATACAAAACACATATGGCAACTATAACAGCTCTGGGATAAAAGGCATTTTTGCTTAAAATAATACTTGGCCAAAAAAGAAAATTACAAGGGAAGAAAGAGAGAAACAATGGGTAAATTAACGAAGGTGACACAGGAAGCTGATGGTCTGAATCATGCTGGGATGTTTGGGGAGGGCAGCGAAAGGTTCCCATGGAGGAAAGTCGGGGGCAGGGTGACGGGTTCAGGTGAGAGCTCTGTGACCCAGGCTTTCCTTGAATAACTCCAGCCCCAAATGCTGCCCCTGGGCAGGAGCCTCATAGGACCCCGGGCGTTTCAGACAGGAGCTGAGAGTTCCACCCACACCTGCCTCATTTCTCACCATCTTCTTTGGTCCTGGTAAAGATCTGCTCACTCCGGACACCGTCCCCAGCGCGGGTGAACGCCAGCACCTGGATGCTATAGTTGGTGTATTTTTCCAGTCCGTCCAGCTCCAGGGAAGGCTGCATTGTGGTGACGTTTTTAATCTCGCCCAGCTCTGGAGGACAAGAAAACACCATCCAGTTACCGTGGCGATGGGCACGTGCCTTACCCCGTGCTGCTCTTGATGTCCAGCACTGGGCCACACACCTCCACGGGTCACACCCTGAAATTACTCAAAGGGACCGTGCACGGCCTTTCCGTTTGGGAGAGATCATTCTCACTAAACTGCCACACAACACCGGGAGGAAAAACAGAGCAATTCACTCCAAGTTAAGTGTTATAAACCCAACGCCAGCACCGCGGCTGCCACTGCTGGGAAGCCCGCCAGCATTAGCTCATCACCCATGTCCCTCGCACCTCCACCCAGGACACACGGACCACATAGCCCTCACTCTGCAGACACATTTCCAACTGCTCATTGAGAAGCTTCCGTGCAATCACTGTGTATTGGGACATGGTCACCAGACATAGCGTGCTGACCGCTTCGTAAGATATGTGAATGTCTCATCACTATGCTGCACACCTGAAACTAATATGGTATTTCATGTCAACAATAATGGAAGATAAATTTTAAAATTGCACATACTGAGTTTGGACATATGCATACACTTGGGGTACCATCACTACACTGAGGACAACAAACGTAGTATCGCCTCACAAAGAGAAGCTTATGCACATTGACTTTCAGTCTTGGGGTTGGTTTTTAAAACCAACTCTAAGTCAACACACATGTGTTGTTCAGGACCTAACTTCTCTAACACGTGAGCTGAGCTGAGGTGGCTCGGCCAAGTCCGCCTTTCACCTGAAGCGACCCCTGTCAGCATCCTTGCTGGAGCGAGATGCTGATGTGTCAGATACTCAGCGTTAGCTAAAAATGCTTTGTTTTCTGGAGTGGGATCAGCTAATAATACCCAGAAATGAAACGTTACGCTCTCCCATTTTTGGCATATTATACACGGCAATTTGAGAAAACTTAAAATGGTGTGTTAATACCTCCAGGGGTGTACTGGATTTGGAAGTGAGCTGCCTACAGAGGAAGCTGAGCAGGAGGGAAAGGCCTGAGGAGCCGCTCACCCCTCAGGCAAGGGGCCGTTTGGGGAATGTGTGGGACCACCTGCATCCCTGCGTGCAGGTACGGAGAGAATGGGGCGGGAGGTGGAGGTCCAGGGGGATTCCTGGCCAGCTGTGAGGCTGGCCACAGTGAAGGAAGGCCCCCTCTGAGGCTGCTCGTCGCTTCTCCTGCTCTCCCTTGCCTTGGTGAAGATAGCTGACGTGCTGTGCATGTTACTGAGGTGCCGGCCTTGCTCTGGGTACACATTATCTCTAACCAGCAGTCCTGATATTTCTCTAGCTCACCCCTTTTACAGGTGAGAAAGTTGAGGCAGAGAGAGGACCAACGCCTTGCCCAAGGTCACGGAGCCTGGCGTAGTGGCTGAGAGCACGGCCTGTGGAACCGCAGTGTGTGGCCTCATGACCCCAGTCCACAATCTCAGCCACTCCACCGGGGTCACGCGGTGTGACTGTCACATGGGCCAGGTTCAATGGGCTTTCGGCAGGCTCGGTTTTCTGTTCCTGATCTTTGTCTTTATTTTCTTCTGTCCATCTACCATATTGCACAGAAGTTCAGAGATTAATGAACCCTTAATTTTGTGATTATGATGACTGTGGGATGTCTTGGTCTGTTGGTGTTTTGTCACCGAAAGCATCAAGGTTGAACTGGCCATAGGGGAAAAGCTGAATTTTCAGTAATCCTTGAGGTGGCCGAGGCCTTTCGCGCACATGTCAGGGGGGCCCTGTGTGTGGCCAGGGTTGTGAGTGGAGTAGAGAAATGGGTGCATGAGGGATGCTGGGTCACAGACACAGCCTCGGACCCGAACACGCGCCAAAGGCCTGTTACCGCCTTGAGCAGGTTGTGGGCGGGTTCTGGGGGCAGGACGCTTTGCTGGGGGGAGAAAGCAGGACAAAAAGGGCGAACCTCAGAAGGTGCCTTTGTCCAAGTGTCTTCTGGGAGGCCAGCGGGATGCAGACTTTTAGGGGCCACAGTTTGGATGCCTCAACAGAGGGCATATGAAAATGAGAAAAATGTTTGCTTTTGTGTGGTTGGTGTGCATTAAAAAAGTCAAACATTGTTAGGCCCATAGGGTTAGAAATGCTCCTCTCTGAAGGAAGGGTCTGCCCTGGGTGAACATTAGGTCTCTTGCCATTATATTATTCCTTTATCGTGTTCATTTTCCTGAACATGTCTAATATAGGTGAACTGGATGAGGATAAAAAAAACAAAATGTTAATGGACAAAGCCTAAGTGCAGATTTCATTAAGATCTTTCCAGATTTAGGAAGTTCTACACTATGCCAAAGATCACACACTCACACACACACACACACACACACACACACACACACACTCACGCATATGCATACGCATGCAGATGCACATGTGCACACACACACACACACACACACTCAGGGAACATGCAACTAAGGGGTGGTGAGTTCCATGGAGACATGTGCCAGGAGCTGGTTATCAGGTCCTGACCAAATCATTTGACTCTTGGGCCCTTTGTGTTTTGTCTGTGTGCTTTTTCCTTTAAGAAGGGCCCAGGCAGCTCTACCTCATGCAGAAAATGGGCTCTGCTATTACGATGTGGGACAAAGCTGTGACCATCGGGCAGTGCTGTTCCTGGTGAGACACAGGGATGAGGGGACAGGAGTTAAGAGGGAGAAGGCCAAGTAGGCTGCCTGATCTTTTTAAAGAGAGCAACAACTAAAATGAAAGGATTACAGCTGTGCCTGAATTACTATACTAATTAGAATTTGCATTTGGATGTGGACTCATATTGAGGTTCATTTTGTTTTGATGAACTCATTTGTCATGAACCAGGAATACGACTGCACTTAAAACACTGATTCCATATTATCCCCCAAAGATTTCTAAAGCGACCTGGCTGCCAGCACGCCCTTTCCACACATGCTCCTCATCTTCCCTGATGGAAGGGTATTCCCTGACTAGCAGGTCCTTCATGATTAGCAGGGATGGAGCAGACAAGGAGGAAAATGACAAAAAAGCCAAATCAAAGCAGCATGCTTCATATTCTAATTCTTTTTAGCTCTTGTTCTTTTTTATGGCTTAAACATGGATTTCTATCATCTACCTTCACAGCTCAATAGGGCTATTTTTTAAAAATTATATGGGAAGCAAATAATGTTCAGTTGAAGTCATGAGCAAATAATATGAAATGAATATACAAAATAAATTCAGAACTCACACTATTTCTATTAGAGAAAGCTTGTTTTTATCTAGTATATTTTAAAACAAAATAGTTTCATATGTTTATTTACATCCTCCCTCATTCTCAAAGGGTTTTAAGGCAGAAAAAAAATGGGGGTAGAGATAACTTTTCCAAAGCACACCCTCCCCCAACCGCCCAGCACCACAGCAAACACCCTGGTTGGAGCCTAAATGTGGCTTTGCTTTAGAATCATCCATTTTTGTCATGAAGAAAGACAAAAGACACAAAAAGTAGCTCAGATTCAGATGGAAATAGGACTTTCCAAAGAGTACGATTTTCCCAGCAATCTCAGGTGAATTGCTTCTGCCAGGTCTTAAAAATTTTTTAACTTTCTGATGATGATAAAATTCTAGAAATTTCATTGCTATCTTGTGTATTTAACCTGCGCTATCAAATGTATATTAACCAGTTTTATTTTATCCGATCACATTGATAATAATAAAATTCATTTTTATACATATTTTTTAAAGTATTTGGGGCAGCTGCTAATCACAGTAGTAACAAACTCTTGTCTCTCCCAGCCTATATGAGTGTGTGTGTATGTGTGTATGTGTGTGTATGTGTGTGGTGTGTGAGTGTGTGTGTGAATGTGTGAGTGACAGAGTGTGTGTGTGAGTGTGTGTGAATGACAGTGTGTGTGTGTGTGAGTGACAGAGTGTGTAAGTGACAGAGTGTGTGATTGTGTGAGTGTTTGAGTGTGTGAATGTGTGTGAGTGTGTGTGTGAGTGTGTGAGTGTGTGTGATGTGTTCTCGAGGATCAGTGGGTACAGATCCCTACACAGTCACTGCATGTTCTGTGTCTATGGGAACCTCGGGACCACAGTCCCAGGAGCTTGTGCAAAAGAACCCAGTAATTTGGTGAAATTCCTTCTAATTCATAAATGTTATCTCTTGTAGGCAACAGGTAAGAAGTGACTGTCCGTGAGCAGGTTTGTGTTTCAGAAGGTTCCTTTCTTAGCTTTTGGGAGTTAAGTGCAGAACCTCTGCATTAGTTATCAAGCACATCACTTTGATTTTAATATAGTGAGTAAAAAAATGTGTCTTTAGGAATGGTCGGCATTTCTAGGCATTATTTATTTAAATAAGTTCATGTGTTTGAATATCTAAATTTTTAAAGCTTTAAGGGTGTAAAGTGAATGAACCATATAGACCACATCATCCATCATAGAACTAAGGTGCTAACAGGCAGTATTAGCAAAGATGAGTGATGTGTGAAAATATGAATGGTCACCACGGGATTCTGTGACTATTTCCAACAAGAACAAAAAAAAGGAATGATTTTAGTGTAACTAAGCCCTCAGGTGAATGTGTTTGGGTATTTAATGGTATGTTCTTCGCGATGAGGGGTAGGAACCGGAACAAGAATGTACAACGATTCCCTATAGCATTGTGGCAATAAAATAGATACTTGGGCAAATTTCTGTTGTTCCACACTTTACATCTATGGGATTTTTGAAGGTGTTTTTCGGGAGGAGAGGATGAAGCTGTGAAAGAATCATCCGCTTTAAGCTGTCCCCCAGTGAGGCTGGTGACGCATCACTGCGCTTGTGGTTCTGCGTCCATGAGGTGCTCCCTTGCTCACTAATCGAGAACACCTCACCAGGCAGACACCGCATCCTCGGTGTCTAGCGTGAGCCCAGCACGGAGTCCATGCTCAGTTGACATGTCTGCTGCAGGACGGAGCAGGTGAGTTTTTACAGAATGCCTCCCAGTGCCTGGTGTGCAAGGTGCTATGCTGGACGCCAGGGGGAGCCGGGTCTTGTCCTCAGCCCGGACAAGCAAGTCTGGTTACACACATGTATAGCTAAGGCATGGGTTGCTATTGACTGAGGAAATTGCGCTAATTTTGCTGGTGTGTCTTCCTTTCTTGGTTCTGGCATCAATAGTGGAGCCTCATGCAGCATCGGAGGCTCATTCACCTGGGAGGGGCAGCTTGGCTGAGCTGACTCAGGCGGTCCTGAGCAGGAGTGGGAGATATCTGGGGGAGCCAGCTGTGTTTGCTCAATCTCAGAGGTGAGCTTGCACCTGGAGGCCACACCTACTCAGACGGGCGGAAAGGAGCCCTAGGCCGAGAGGAAGCAGGGCCCAGGGGCAGCGGGACAGGAGAGGCTGCGGGGTGCAGAGCAGGGGAGGGTACGGTATGGGCCACCCAAGTCTCGGGACGTAGCCGTGAGCTGACCTTGGGAAGGCTTTCCTGTGAGGGGCTGGAGTGCAGGCATGCGCAGGTCATGCTCACGGAGGGGCAGCAGCCCCGCTCAGCACCATCCTCCATCTGAGAGCAAAGACACCGACATGGATTCTACCAGAGAATCCAGTCTTGCCGCCACCTGAGCGGGTACTCTCTCATTCACAGCCATGCCCAAACGGGAATTTTGAAAGAAAACAAAATGAACACAAAGAATCAAGAAGAATGAGGGAAAGGAAGCAGGGGGAGAGGAAAGAGGAGGAGAAGGAGGCAAAAACGGAGGGTTCTGGATTGGGCGGTTCCTTAGGGGACTGAGGATGTGCCCCTCAAGGTGCACTGGCACTCCCTCTGAACCCCTTAGCGTTCAGCTATGGAACGCAAGAGGTTTTCCTGCTGAGTTCTATTGGGGAATAGAAAGTGATCAACCTTTTAACATTGAGGAGAACTTTCTAGATACAGATCAAGGTTTTGATGCTGCCTGCAGAGGCTTGACATAGATACTCATATTTAGAAATAACATCCAGGCTTATACTTCCCAGGTGCCAGCCCCCTCCTGTACCTCAAATTACTCTTTGAAGGGATGTAATGCTTTAAACAGCTGTATACACCTGTTAAAATGTTGGATGAGGGACTAAGAACAGAATGACGTGGGGAAAAGAGGAAGGTGCTCACGAATGAAGAAATGCCCGCCGTATTCAGAATCCCATGTTAGGTCGGGAGTCTGCAAAATCCATCGCATATTTTTTGGGGGCAAACTCAAAGCCCTAGTGTAACCCTCTTACCTCCATCCATGAGGTTGGCCCAGTAAATGACTCTGAACCCCTGGAGAATTCCATTCAAGGCTTCCTTGGGAAGTGTGGACCAGGATATTGATATGCTTTCTGGTGATGTTGCTATGGCTTGGACATTTTCAGGGGGGTAACTGGGCACTGAAATTAAATAATTAGAATCTGTAATAACGGTGGGTGGTCTTATCAGCAGAGCAATAAGCAACATTAGCTTAATATTTCAATGGGCAAGCAAAAGAAAAAAATTGCACACAAGTCCCAAAATTAAGGAAAAAAATGAGTCATTCTCCCTATACAAATATGATGATAACCAAGTAAAATACCATGAGTTTACACAGATGTCCTAATAGACTTCCATTGACTCTCTTTCCAGTTTAACTATTTCACTTTAAGGAGGTCGTCCCAGGCTTACGGAGTTGAGAACACTTCTGATCTTATCGCATGAATAAAGATCATTGTTTATCTGGTTTGCTTTCCCATTACTCTTGTAAGTTACTGCTTGGAGTTGCATTTACTTTGTACAATTCCTTCCCTCTATTTATTAATATCTGCCGTATAAATTGGAAGCCTAGCTGAAAAGTGCTAAAACGCAGACAGGTAATCACAGCTTATTCACTACTGACCTCATCCCCAGACCCCCTTTCAATACTATAACATTATGTCAGAGGAAAGAGAGACAATGGACTAAGATACAGGTTAAAAGAATATTTGGAGTATTTTTCATATTGCATTTATGCAAACCTTAAATGCTCTGTCTAGGAGAGAGGACAAAATGTTGACTGCACCACAGGCATCCATGAAAAATGAGCACTGAAGTGTAAACCGAAAGGCATTTTTATTCACTATGGCAAACATTATGAAGATGGAAAGAAAATCCCAGTATTCAAGTTCCTAGTTATCTAAGATTTTGCTTTCTGTAAAAATTATCAGAAGTTATAGATGTAAGTCATCAGTGGCTCCTCTGACTTATTATCACGTGGCTAATTGCACAAGAGATAATTGCAAGGCAAGCTTGCTGCCTTCATGTCTACTACTTATTGCTACAGTTAATCCCATATCTTATCTAAAAGACTGTGTCTCAGCACACCAGGGTTCTCTCTCTTTACAAGCACTGCTGAAATGGGAGATTTTAGGTTATCTTCCCCAGGTCATGGTAAAAGGGAGAATTAATTTCTTATGGTCACTAGAGGGCGCTCGGGCACCATGAGATTTGCTCCAGGAAATCCACTCATTCCTGGTCTCAGAATGCTTGAAAATAGAAAGCACTCATAGAAAAGAAAAAGAAAGAAAGTAAAAGGAAAAAAATCCTCCTTGACATTGATTTGGGAGAAATTCTTAGAAAAACGGATTTCTACATTCTGGTCAGACTTCTGCTGTCATAGGGAGAGCCGTGGTTTCACTTGGGAAAAGCCCAATTCTTGGGTTTGGAATGAATGAGAAGGACACTGAAAAGGGAATGCATTTGGGCTTTGCAATCAAGATCTGTCACGGGCGGGAGCGAATCAATGCAGTCCTCCAGTTATTAGGGCACGTTTTCCCACTGGGAACCCTAGTCCCTGCAGGCCCAGTCACCTTTGTCACTGCAAAGCCAGCAGGGGGCCAGGCTGTGGGGAAGCAGAGCCCTGACCAGAGCAAACCCTGGAGGAAGGAGAGCCGCGTGCCACGGTCCAGGAGAACCTACCATCCTCGAGGGTGGTGGTGATGATTTCCTGAGAAGAAGGCCCCGTCCCGGCCCGGTTGCAGGCCTGCACCACCAGGCCGTACTGGGTGAACTTATTTAGGTTGTCCAGGGTGTAAATCTCACTGTCCCCAGTGGTGTCAATACTGATAATGTTGAACTGGAAGTTGCCCCCAGCGCTGTACTCGCGGTAACCTATTTGGTAGCCTCGGATAATCCCATTCTGCAAATGCTTCTTGGGGGCCTAAACAGGAAAGAAAAGAATTCACTAAAGAACACTTGACAGGGAGACCAGCACCCACCCACTTCTCAAGGAAACAAAAATAAAATAAAATGACCACCGTAAGAACAATAATAGGTGTAGTGATGGGAACGGTGTTAGTAGAAGCGCTTGCACATGGCCGGGCACGCTTCCTTTCCCAGATTAATGCATCCAGATGTTACCACGAGCCTGTGACACAGCACTACACCCACCCCCGTTTGACGAGGAGGCCACACAAACATGAAGGGCCACTGGGGGATTCTGCCAGCAGAGCCTGTGCTTCTGCCATGCTGCCATGGCCGACTTCTCTAACCGGTGGGGAAGTTTCAAAGACGGATTGTGTGTGTGGCCCCTCAGCGTACACCAGCCATCACGTAGTCAGGCTGATCTTCATGTAGTCACCGGCCAAAGCTATGAGCTGGCCATTCTGCCAGATTGTTCGACGTACTGGGGGACGGATTTTTTTTTTTTAAGGTTGCTGTCCTCATGGAGTTTACACTCTAAGGGAATATTCCAGAAAAAAGGTGTTTCCAGGTTGAAAGCTGGATGTGGAGGCGGGCAAACCCCTTTCCTTAAGGCCTAAGTGATTTGGGAATCATTTTATGGTGCTTTAAACCTGTCAGGGTGAGGCTGGAGTTATCTTCTCTCTGTTATTGATAAAGGGTCTGCTGAGTCAGAGACAGAACAATTGTGGCTGACATGTTGGCCTTTTTCAAAAAACAGACTCTTTTCAAGTATGTTATAAGAATAACACTGATGCGATGCCCTCCTAAATTAATAAAACTTTTGTAGACCTTAAGGCAGTCAACAGATGTGTGTGTGTGTGTTGTGTGTGTGTGCACGTGTGTGCAAGTGTACATGTGTATTTGTGTCATGTCTGTGTGCATATGTGTGAGTACTGAATATATGTGTATGCCTGAGTGTGTGTACATATGTGCACAAGTATGTGTGTGTGTATTTCCGCACAAACCGTGGATTTAGATCTCCCAGGGCTCTGAAATGCTTTCTCTGCCCCGAAAGTGCTTACAATCCAGGTGGAGAGAGGAAATAGACACTTAGGAAACTGTAGAGAAATCTGAAGTGTCCAGGTGTGTGGTACTGGGTGGTGAGGGCCAGCAGGCTTCCAAAGGTGATGCAATGGGGTTAGTTGGGAGCAGTTAGAAGAGGCTGACCCTACATGGGCATGGAAGGATGACTAGGGCTCTGATTTGGAGGGGAGGTGTGGTGGGTGGAGTCTGCAGAAACAGGTGAGGCTAGGATGGAACAGAGAGTGCCTAAAGCACAGCAGTGATACATGGCCTACAGAGTGGGGCTGCCTGATGGAGCCAGTCCTACAACACCAGCAAAATGTAATGAGGGGAGAGTCCACACAGTGAGAAGGCAGAAGGTGGTGAGCAGATTGCAGCATGAATGAATTCAGCAAATATTTATGGATTTGCCTAATATGCCAACCTCCCAGAGGCTTTAGGTGCCTCTGGCTGTCTTTGGGTGTTAGTCTGAGCTACACAGAGCAGTAAAATCACATTTCTTTTTAAAAGTAAGTTTCCTCATTTATGGTTTTCTTAGATTCCTGTTGCTTTTCTCAACCTGTCTGATTTGATGCGTTAACACGGTGTTAATAGATATCAATGAAGCTGTCATGTAAACCATGACCGTTTCAGTGGAGTTAGCACAGTCAGACCCTGACATAAGAGCTCATGCCTTTCTTAAGATAAGCAAATACCTATGCAGTCCTGTTTCTGGATTAATGAACTATGACTTTTCGCTTTGCTTTGAAATCGGATATAAAGATTTTAGATTTTGAGAATTTGATTACCTGGAATTTGTTTTATCACAACCACTGAATTGCATTTGTACTACTTAATAACATTAATTTTCCTGCAAAAGTCATCTAAAACTCAAATTTAAAACAAAGATATTTCTCCTATTTCACATAGTCTTTAAATATTAAATACAGTCACCCAATATAAAGAATATATATTGTTTTAATTTAGTTTACACCCATTCTAATTTTTCAACTGGCTCCCTGTGAGGTTTTAAACCTACCTAAGATACTGAATCAGGAGCCTACTATGAGGGCTTTGGAGTCAGGCCAAGAAGGACGTGTGGTGAGTGGAGGAAAATGCCCACAAGACAATGTTTGCATACAGCAATCAATTCAGGGAAACCCTATATGAGTACAGGGACCTGCTTACTGACATTTAACTCCTTGAGTTTGGGGGATAATCATGCCTGTGACCAGGCTGCACATGGAGGGGGAGAAATCTTCCTGTGTTTTCCTCTCTGTGGGTAAAAACACATTTTAACTAGTTTAAGGATGATAGACCACATAGGTGGTTTTGTACCATTTGGTTACAATATCTTGTAAAAATCAATAGAACAGTTTTTACATTTTTCTTAGAACGAAATTTTAGTCCTGCTAGTACTAGAATGACGTGAAGTTTATTTTTGCTTACTAGATTCCTCTGCAAAATAGTTTTTAGAAAAATTCTTTTATTTTTATTTTTTATAATAAAAGTATTCAGCCTCCATTCCTATGTAATTGCTATTCATATTTTGGTAGATTTATTTATCAAAGTGAAGTTGACGATTTTTTTTTTAACGTGGCTGTCTTCAGACTCTGTAGTATTTGGTGTTTGATATGTTTCATTCAATATGGTATCAGGGTCATAGTCCCATGTTTTCCTCACAGCCTTTCAAAATCGTATTCTATAGATTGTTTTATTTAATTACTTTTCCATTGTTGGGGATTTTGTTGTCTTGTAATTTTCTACCATAAATGTTGTGTTAAGCATCTCTGTGATACATTTTTTATGTTTTTAGGTTTATTTGTGGGACGCAAGCCCCAGAAATGGATGATTGCCTTATTTTAAAGAGGTTATGTTTCAATTGCCCGTTAATGAGATAGGATTTTTCGTTATTATTCTTTTAGATGTATAATACAATATGGTAACTTAAGGGACTATGTTTATCACAAGGAGAAGCAAGAGTGCTCTCTTCCAGTTTTCTTAATATTCCAGCTTTGAAGAGACACATATTGAATAGAGTTATGAGCTATTTGAAGGTAGTGGTGGTTTCACATCTTTTCTTTTCACAGTTCTAACCCAGTTTGTAGTTATCATGCAGAATGAATTGTTGCACCTGAGAAAGAAATGATAGATTTTTCCTACAAGTGCTGGTTCCATAGCTTACAGGCCCCTAGTGGGTTTTAAAGCAATCTGAAAAATATTGTGTGGAAGGAGTGAGAGTGGCTGCTCATGGGTATGAGATTTTGTTGTGGGTGATGGAAATGTTCTAAAATTGGATTCTGGTAATAGCTACACATCTCTATAAACAAGCTAAAACCCATTCAATTGTACACTTAAAACAGTGAATGTTATGTCATATTAATTTCACCCCAATAAAGCTGTTCTAGTATAAGGTATATGCAGAAATCATCTCTAGGTTATTTACCTTTCTAATTCAATCACAATAGCCACCTCCCACTACAACCATGATGACCACCATTAATCAGTACTCACCACTTCTACCACCACATCTTCACCATCACCATCACCACTGCCAACGTCACCACCACCACCCCTTACAATCATCACCATTACCTCTATGCCCCAGCACAACCACTACCATCTCTCACTGACACGGCCTCCACCACCAGTATCAGCAGTCACTACCTCCTTCGCCACCGCCACCTCCACCACCAACTTCACCACAACTTCCATGACCAGCATCACCAACTCACCTCCTTCATCACCGGCATCAGCACCGTCGTCACTGCCACCACGTCCACCACCACCATTGCCAATGTCACCACACCAGCATTATTACTACCATTACCACCAATGGCATCCCTACCACCATCACCATTGACATTGCTACCATTGGTACCAACATCACTGACAACATGATTGCCTAACACTACTGCCCCCTCTACCGCTTCTCGCACCTAGCCCACCATCCCTTCACTACCTCCACAAACAAACCACTACCACAACATCCAACACCCCACCCCCAGCACCACTGACATTATCATCCTTGTCACTATCACCATTACCACCAACACCTCCATCACTAACAGTGCCAGCATCACCACCGTCATAGTCACCACTGTCGCTGCACCACCTCACCACCACCACTTATCAAACATTTGCTTTTTTCCATTTATCCTCAAAACAACCTCAAGAAGCCTCATTATCCTTATTATCCTCAAGATGAAGAAACTGAGGGTCAAAAAGCTTAAAACATCTTTCTCAAGGTAAGTGTAGAGTTGGAATTCTAACCCAGGGTTTCCTAAGAGTTGTATTTAGTTTCCACAACTCGCAGAGCCTCCAAAAAACCTTTTTTCTTTTTGCAAAGCTTATTAATTAGGTTTGTAAAGTTACACTAAACAAAGCATTTTTTAATCAAAGAACAACCTAACAAATCACATGAAGAGAAAGTATTATGTTTTCATGCACAAAAGTAAGCAAAAATTCGAACTATACCAGGCAAAGGTTAAGTTCCTATTATTAATTGGTAGGGTGAATAGTCAGAATTGAATTCAGGGATGTGTTTACATTAAAGAAATCCTTGAGAACTTACTAAAAAACACAAATCTCTTTAAAAAAATCCATTAATGCAGGAATTTTGCACATGAAGTTTAGGAAACTTTAGGGGCTGTAGTTAGTGCTAGTTCAGTTTCAGAGTTTTTTTGAACATGACCCTGGAGGCTCGCTCTGAGTTGTATGGACAACCAGCAAGAAGGGGCAAGGGTTTGGGTCGGTGCAGGCGCTCGCATCCGTTAGCCTGGCGGTGGGCTCCATACCCTCCCTAGACAAGTTAGGACATCATACCCTTTACTTTAAAAATTGTTCTTGATGATGCTTTAAACATTTCTTCTTGGAGCATGTGTCTACCTGGAATCAAGGGAGAGGGTTGGTTCATATCTATAGAGAAGTCGTACTAATGGGAAGAACACTAGTGTTTGAGAACACTATTCTCTA